CTCTTTTCTTGAGGTACCCGACGTGTAGGTGGCTGAGAGTCTTATTAATGGGTTGGTTGAGGTGGCTATTAATGAGGAGGTAGTTTTTAATGATATAACTCGTGATAATGGTATTATGGATGTTGCGTCTCCTTTGCTTAACGGTGAGGCCTAAGAATGCGAATGTTGTAGAGTTAGGTGATGTTGGTTCTCATCATGATCATGGTTTGATTTTGCCTACTATGGTCTTTAAGCTGAGCAAGTGCATTTTGTTGAATGCTCTTGGTGTTGTTGGTTTAAATGACTTGGCTTTATCTAATGCTAAGGAGGTGGAGGCTAATGAGTATGGTGATGGTGCAGGTCAGCTGGATGGGTGCCTTGTTTAACCTAGGGATGTGGCAGTTCATTTGGATGGGTGCTTGGAGTTGTTATTGCAGTTCATCCCCTTCTAGGATCTACGATGGTTGCTATCAAGGTTTATGTTGATCATTTGGTTAAGGATGCCATTGTTAGGCTCCCCTCTGATGGGGAGAGTGTTGGTGTTGATTCTTTGGTCGATGTTCCTGATGGACTAATTTTGCCTAATTTTTTAAGTCACGGATTTTGTGGCGGGTAGGGGAGGCATGTTTGAGGCAAATTGATTGGTTGGATGATTCTATGGGCTCTTCGTGCGATTTGGAGGATGAATTGGAGGGTGATGTTGGGGCCATACAAGATTCGTATGGTTTGGATATCTCTCGGGCTTTGGGTCCCCCCTTTTCTCGTGGTGGAAAATGATGTCATTGCAAATCTAGGAGATAAGATTTCTCCTTCTCCTTTTGTTTTTGTTTGCAGGGCTGACTTTTTGTTCTCCTTTGCTGCTCACGTGTCTTGGGTTTCGGGATGGTTTGGATTGGGTCTTCTTGGCTTAATCTTGGTGACTTATGGCTCGGTTGCTTGATTTCCTTACCTGTTACATTACGGTTTTGGAATTGAACTATGATGAGGCAGTTCTTCTGCATGCCCCGTGGATGGCCAGGCTTGGTTTGCAACCTTAGTACTTATTTTCCTTATCAGTTTATTTGGACTTTTATTTTGGTGATCCTATTGTGTTTAGAATCTTTGTGATTGTCTTTTTACTCCTTGGATGGTCCAAGCCTGACAACCAGGTGCGATCTGAGTCTAGTTGCTTCTGGATTTTTTTTCTTTTCAATATCATGGTCAGGTTATTTGGCCTGACACTAATTGGCCTTTCTTTTATCCGTACATGTTTTATTTATGGCCTTGTTTTTTTGGGCTAATGCTGTAATGCTTCCTTTTTCTTTAAAAAAAAGTAGCCATAAATGCACTTAATTAAGTATTAATTAAAAAAATCTACCCTTGGTGAAGGCCAGTGGTGATCACCAACATCAATAATGGTTGTCTGCAACAATTTTGGGGAAATTCAAAAGTGGTTTCATAAAGAGATAGTAATGTTGGTGATGACAAATACCCGATAATCATAATTATTTTTTAGAATGCTCAAAACTTTTACGTATTATATTCTTCTAATTTAATACGATTCACCCTCCTCTATTAACTTTTTATTTTTATTGTTTATTTCATTTTATATTTTATATTAAATAAAAAATACTTGATATCTTAAAAATATGATGTTTTTATTTATTATGCAGTAATTATGGCTATCACTATGCAATATTGATAGTGGTGGTGGATAGTCGGCGATATTGGGGTTACAGGCAGTAGCAACCACCAACAATATTGGTGGCAGAGTTTAGTGTGGACGGGGGAACAGTGTTGA